TTCAACACCCTTACAATTATTTGGGATACATCATTAATAACATAGGAATCTTTCCCCAGAGACCCCAGTTCCAGATAAATCAACTCAAAACTTTACATCAGTGGCAGACATTCCTCGGAGAAATACAGTGGCTGCGCCCATCCTTTCATATTCCAACTGGAGAGCTCAAACCCCTATATGACCTCTTGCGAGGAGATCCTTCTCCTACGTCATGTAGAGTACCTACACCAGAAGCCTTACGAGCACTGAGGCTAATAGAAGAGGCTCTGCAGGACATGCAGATTACACAGATAGATTATTCTCTGCCCTTGTCATTTATAGTTCTACCTTCTAAAATTACTCCCACAGGAGTGTTCTGGCAAACAGGTCCCATTTATTGGGTCCACTTGCCGGCTTCTAACCCCCGGGTACTGACTCCCTTTTATGAGCTAGTTATTAACTTAATTTGGAAGGCTAAATATTTGGGTGATGCATTGTTTGGAAAAACCTTTGACATACTTATTCAACCTTACACTCAAGATATGATACACAAGTTACAACAAGAACATGACCTTTGGTGTCTTTTCCTGTGCAACTTCAAGGGTCAGATTGATAATCACTTCCCTAAACATAGACTTTTGGAGGGCTTTAAAAGGTGTCCCATTATCTTCCCAAAGATTATGAAAAGGGAACCTATTCCAAAGGCCCAAACTGTATATACAGATGGGGCCAAAAATGGATTTGCCGTCGTTTTTGATGGATCTCAAATTCTCCGACAACCTGTGTCAGGTCAGTTGGCCCAAAAGGCAGAAGTTGAAGCTTTAATCATAGCTCTCAAAGTCTATAGTTCTATTCCTCTTAATGTATATACTGACAGCTTGTATGTAGCCAATCTGGCTCTAGTCATAGAAACAGCATCATATATTGGAAAGCAATCCACCATCACAGAACAACTACAGGTAGTTCAGCTTCTCATTTGGGCTAGAGGAAATCCTCTATACATTGGCCACATCTGAAGCCATTCAGGGCTCCCTGGACCTTTGTCAGAGGGCAACGCAAAAGCAGACGCTGCTACTCATGCTGTTGGCCTTTCCTGTGTGACGACCAAATATGATAAGGCCTTACAATTCCATAACAAATTTCATTTAAATGCACAGTCTTTACGCTTCCACACAGGATGTTCACGAGACCAAGCTTTACAGATTGTCTCATTATGTCCAACCTGTGCACCATTTATTCATTCTCCTTCCCTTGGGGTTAATCCAAGAGGACTACAACCTAATGATGTCTGGCAAACTGATGTTACACACTTCCCTAGCTTTGGTAAGCTCTCCTTTATACATGTTTCCACTGACACATATTCTGGCTTCATTTTTGCCACCTTACATACTGGAGAGAAGGCTAAGGATGTAATCAGTCATCTTCTAAAAGCCTTTTCCTCCATGGGCACCCCACGATGCCTCAAAACCGATAATGGTCCCGCATATGTAAGCCAGGCGGTTCAACGGTTTTACACCCAATGGGAAATTAATCATAAGACTGGAATCCCTTATAATCCACAGGGACAAGCTATCGTGGAACGAGCCCATCAACATTTAAAAACTTATTTACAAAAAACAAAAGAGGGGGAGATATACCGGAATTGTCAGGGACCACAAGCACTTCTAAGCATAACCTTATTTACTTTAAATTTTTTACTCACTGACACTGGAGGGCGCACGGCTGCACAACGCCACTTTTCCCCTCCCACTGTACAAGATGCTCAAATAAGGTGGAAAGATTTATCCACCGGAAAGTGGCAACCCCCAGCTCCACTCTTAGCTAGAGTGAGGGGAGCTGTATGTGTTTTTCCCCCAGGAACTGAGAAGCCCATTTGGATCCCGGAGCGCTGCACCAGACCGGTGAATAAAAATTCAAGACAAAATGAAGTTCCCAAGATGCCTGATCCTGCCGCTGTTGTTCTCACCCCTTCAAGTGAGTGCTGAGACACACCTCATGAGCTGGACCCCACTTGTGGCATTCCTTCTGGACAGGTTTGCTGAAGGAGGGCTTGACCCCCCCACCTGGGAATATTCATGAATATCTTTTTGGAGCCCCTTGTGAGTGTAAGGGAGGGCCCCGGCACTCGGCCCCCTCTGGTTATATCCAGAGCATTGATTGTGGGACTAAAGTAGCCTACATGGCGGCTGAACTCAATGAAAACATCGGAGGATTTAAGCAACCAAAATGGGTATGTGTTAATAAGCCCGGACTTGTTGTCCCTAATCCGAACGATACTCTTGGAAGCTGTTCCGCCACTTGTCGTTACACCCCAGGGATGCACATCTCCTGTTATACATCGGCCTCAATTTGTGTTAATAATCAAGGAAAACAGTATTTTGAGGCCATCCTAACTAACACCCATGGAGAATGGGGGACCACTTATAATTATATTCCTTTTCTTGGTGACCGGGGAGGGGAAGGCATCATGACTCAGTTAACGGAGGCAGGATGTGAGGGCGTCATGGGTAAACCTTCCTGCTGGCCCATGCAGGCCCCCATCGGAGTCTCTGATGGAGGGGGACCCACTGATGCTATCAAACACCTTCAGGTGATTAAGCTTTTAAAGCCAGAGATCCCTAAGCCTACATGCCACCCCTTGATATTGCCCAAATCCCAGTTTCCTGATTTAGATGCTAATACATTAGATATCCTAGAAACTACCTTTTCTTTACTTAACAATTCCAACCCTACCCTTGCTGGTGATTGCTGGCTCTGCATGACGGCAGGTGCAGTCATGCCATTGGCGGTTCCCATCAATTATACCATTGATGATGACAACACATGTCAATCTGGGCTACCCTTTAAGGTGCAGCCTCTAGGTGGTTTTATGTCATGCCTTCTGGGCATGATGCAAAATAATACCTATGATGTTGATGTTGGAGTCTCTTCCTTTGGAAACTGCTCATTAGTAAAGAATTACTCCTCACCTACTCCGCCCATTTGTCCCCCTAATGGTACAGTCTTTATGTGTGGTGGAAATTTAGCTTTTCCCAGGCTCCCAGCAAATTGGACTGGTGGTTGCGTTCTGGCATTACTGCTTCCTGATATCACGATTATCTCAGGAGATGAACCCCTACCCATTCCTAGCCTAGACATCTTAGTTAGAAGACACAAGAGAGCTGTGCAGGCCTTACCACTCCTTGTTGGCCTTGAAATAACTGCTGCTGTGGGTACAGGCACGGCAGGATTGGGTATGGCTATACATTCTTGCCGCCGCCTATCTCAACAGCTTATAGATGATGTACAAACCCTGTCGGGAACCATTAAAGACTTACAAGACCAGATAGACTCCCTAGCAGAAGTAGTTCTTCAGAACAGGCGGGGTTTAGACTTGCTTACTGCCAATCAAGGGGGAATTTGTTTAGCCCTTGGGGAGAGGTGCTGTTTTTATGCTAACAAGTCTGGCATAGTTCGCACAAAAATTAAACAACTCCAAGAAGACCTAAAAAAAAGGAGGAGGGAATTATTTGAGAACCCTCTCTGGACTGGACTTAATGGATTTTTGCCTTATCTTCTTCCCTTATTGGGACCATTGTTAGGCCTCCTTCTAGTAGTGGCAATAGGACCCTACATTGTAAATAAGATAGTACAATTCATTAAGGATCAAATTAATATCTTAGCCTCTAAGCCAATACAGGTTCACTATCAACGCTTGAAGATGGATGATCGCCTCTCTGAGATATACTTCAGACCTATCCGAAGATGAGTGTCCTCCTTAAAAGAAGAACTCCTGCCATATCTTTTCTCTATGCATACCTCTCCCTCTTGCCTTCCTGTACTAGGATCTTTGCTGTCTAATCTCTCGGTCCAATCACATCTGCCATTCGGCGGTGACGGTCATGGGTCCCGTAGGTGGAGACGATTAAGCGTTTACCGCAATAGTGTCTTGATAGGTCATAACACCTTGAGCTGATCTTGTAGTACCCAGTGACGGGCAACTTTCACGCTTGCTGTGCGACCTAAGACAGGGAATCGGGGCCTTCCCAGAGACGGGTAAGCATCGCAAGGGCTGTGAACGACCTAAGACAGGGGCTACTTGATTCCCACTGGCATGCAAAAAACAAAAGAGGGGGACTTGTTGGCAGCAGGTCCACCCTGGCCCCTGGAGCTCTACCTCCACTAGTTTGTTCTGCATGCCAGTGTGGCCAGCTCACAAGGCCATGGCGAACTTGCGGTTTTTCTGTTCCTGCTTGTCCGTCTAAGACATATGTATCCCACGGGAATGCCTTGACCTTTTCTGGTCTGATGGACTTATTGTTAAGGGAGGTTTCGGTACCTGACAATAATAGATGTTGAAACTAAATTTCTCCCCCCTCCCTCCTGCTTTTGGGTAGTTTTCCACTTCTGCTGCTTGGGGTATAAAAAAAGGTGTGTTAGCAATAAAGATTATTATTGACTCCTGGATGAAGAACCTTGGTGTCCTGTGTGTCTTTTAACCTCGCCGTCCCTCGCTGGACTCGGCTCCCTTGGCCGGACGCGGCAATAAGCTCTGCTTAAGCTGTTCTTAGGGCTCTCTGCTCTATTCAAGTGAGCTCTGAGCCCCAGCATGCTGGACCCCAATAAACCCTTTGCTGTTGCATGAGACAGTCTCTTGGTGGTCTCTTCCTCCGACGCTCGCCTGACCTTTACATTTGGAGGTCCCACCGAGATCCAGCAGCGGCGGACGAAAGACCCCCTAACGGGCCCCTCTCAGGGTAAGTAAGGTGCCTCTTTCTGGTTTCTGCTTTCTGGTTCCAGGTTTCAGGTTTCTGGTTTCAGGTTAGGGCTGGCAAAGTGGCTGTTGGTGAAGAGCGTGAGCTCTCTCCGACAGTGGCTGACAGACGTGTCACAGAGCCACAGGCCACGTCCCTGGGGGACGCCCCAGAGGACTCTGGAAATCGAGGAACAGTGGTTTCCTCGACTCAGTATTCTGCAGTATTCTGCTTCGGATTTGGTTTGCCAGCCCATCAGGTTTTGCCGGCTACTCAGTCCCGTCTCAGTGTTGAACGTTTACTGTCTGTCTTTATCGTCTGTGTCGTGTGTGCCTGCTTTCACTGTTTGTGTATCTTTCATTATGGGACAGAGCACTTCACCGCCTCTGTCCCTGACCCTTGATCACTGGACCAAAGTCTGCTTAAAGGCCCAGAATCTTTCTTTTTCAGTAAAACGCCAGACCTGGCAGACTCTCTGTGCCTCAGAATGGCCCACCTTTGGAGTCGGATGGCCCCCAGAAGGATCTTTATACTTCCCACTAATTTGAAAAGTCAGAGATATTGTCTTTGTCTTTCAGCCGGGACCACATAGCCATCCAGATCAACAGCCATATATCTTAACTTGCCAGGACCTCTGTGAATCTCCTCCTCCATGGGTAAAGCCTTTCCTTGTCCCTGCCCCCCACTCCTACTCCTTCCCCCACGATTCTGTCTCTCAAACCCTCTGCTCCTCCTCCTCCTCCACCCTCTGTTCTCCCTGAGTCTCAAGATTTGACTCTACTGGACTCTCCTCCCCCTCCTTATCCCCTGCCCTCATCCCCCAACCCCCAACACCCTCTAAGTGATTCCCCTGCTGCTGACTCAGCCTCTCTGCCATTGGAGGAAGCTAAGCTGGCCCAGTGCCCTCCAGATGACTCCCCCGCAGCCCACACAGCCCCTCCTCCCCTGGAGGAAACTGGCCCAGCTAAAAGAACTCAAAGAACTTGCCAGCGTTTTCACACCAGCCTACTTGGGATGACTGCCAACAACTCCTAGGGACTCTCTTCATGACAGAGGAACAAAAGAGAATCCTCCTGGAAGCTAGGAAAAAAATATCCTTGGACCAGATGGGCGACCGACACAACTTCCCCTTGAACCAACCCAACTGGGACCCCAACACCTTTGAAGGTAGGGAGCATCTGTCCACTTATCGCCAGGTTCTAATAATAGGTTTCCGAGTGGCCGCTAGGCGACCAACTAATTTGGCCAAGGTAAGAGAGATTATTCAAGGGCCTGATAAATCTCCCTCTATGTTTCTAGAGAGAATTATGGAGACATATAGGAGATATACTCCTTTCGATCCTCAGGCAGAGGATCAAAAGGCATCTGTCACGATGGCCTTTATTGGGCAAGCTGCCCTGGATATTAAAAGAAAGTTACAACGCTTAGATGGATTACAAGATATGACTTTGAGAGATTTAGTCAGAGAAGCCGAGAAGGTATACTATAAGAGAGAAACTGAGGAAGAGAAGGAACAAAGGAGGGAGAAAGAAAGGGAGCAAAGGGAGGATGAAAGAAGCAAAAGACAGACTAAGGCATTGACTAAGGTCCTGGTCACCACAACAAATAGGCCAGAAGTTAAGAGACAGGGAGACAGAAAGGGATACCTGGGCCCACGCCAGAGGCCACCCCTGGCCTCAGATCAATGTGCCTACTGTAGAGAAAAAGGACACTGGGCCAAAGAGTGCCCTAGAAAGAGACAGCCACGCCAGCCAGCCATTCTGACTCTGGAGGATGACTAAAAAAGTCGGGGCTCAGATCCCCTCCCCGAGCTCAGGGTAACTTTTGAAGTGGAGGGGACCCCAGTAAACTTTGAAGTGGATACAGGGGCAGTATACTCATCCCTTAAGGCCCCATTGGGCCCTCTATCAACTAAAAGATCTCTAGTTCAAGGGGCTAACGGCAGTAAATATTGGGCTTGGACAACTAAGAGGACCATGGACCTGGGGAAAGGAAAAGTCCATCACTCCTTCCCAGTGATCCCAGAATGCCCGGCTCCATTGATGGGCAGAGATCTGCTCACCAAGCTCCGGGCCAGAATAACTTTTAACCCTGAAGGCCCCCAAATGAAATTTCTAAATCCTTCAGTAAAAACTCCTATAGTCATGACTTTAACTATGTCAATAAAAGATGAACATCAACTCTTCACACCCCCAAGACTGATCAAACAGGCAAGCTACCCCAGAAATGGATAACAGATTACCCAGATGCCTGGGCAGAAACTGCTGGGTTAGGCCTAGCCGTAAAACAACCTCCAATAACAGTGGAGTTAAAAACCTCAGCTTTCCCAATTAATATTAAACAACATCCTCTGAGCAAAGAAGCTAAAGATGGGATAAGGCCCCATATTCAGAAATATCTGGCCTTAGGGGTCCTAAGGCCCTGTCAATCGGCCTGGAACACTCCCCTGCTACCAGTAAAAAAGCCAGGAACCAGGGACTATCGCCCCGTTCAAGACCTAAGAGAGATCAACAACAGAGTGCAGGACATTCACCCCACAGTACCTAGTCTGTACAATCTGCTTAGCACCCTGAACCCTGAGCAAAAAATGGTATACTGTTCTGGACTTAAAAGATGCTTTCTTTTGCTTGCCTCTACATAAAGATAGTCAGTTGCTGTTTGCTTTCGAATGGATAAACCCAGAAACCGGAATGTCTGATCAACTAACTTGGACCAGACTCCCACAGGGGTTCAAAAACTCCCCCACTCTCTTTGATGAAGCCCTCCACAGAGATCTCAACAACTTCAGAACTATGCACCCCGAAGTCACCCTGCTTCAATATGTGGATGACCTGCTACTGGCAGCTGATACAAGGAAAACTGTGAGTCTGGGACCCAAGCACTACTATCCGAGCTTGCTCAACTTGGGTATAGAGCTTCTGCCAAAAAGGCCCAAATTTGCCAGCAAGAAGTAATCTTCCTGGGCTATTCCCTTAGGGGCGGTAAACGATGGCTCACTGAGCCCAGAAAACAAACCGTTGTGCAGATACCACCCCCATCTAACAAGAGGGCAAATAAAGAGGCTAAATTGGCAGCCCTAAATGGAGTAACCATGTTAACACTTTCCACACCGGGGGAACAGAAGGACACTGACACTGAACTCCTCGACTTTACTGAGCCCAGCCTGCAATTTCAGAAAGCCCTACACTACATTAAAAATGTACATCAACTCACTCACCTTGATTCAAAGAAATTGCAGGCATTCCTGAAGGATCAAGAACAGAGTTTTCCACTAACCGGCTCACAGCGAAAAAAAATAGCTGAACGGGTAACAAAAGCCTGTCGGGTCTGTCAATTGGTTAATGCTTACCCTTCCAAGCTTCCTGAAGGAAGGCGCCTTCGAGGAACCAGACCAGGACAATTTTGGGAAGTGGACTTTACTGAAATGAAGCCAGCAAGGTATGGACTTAAATATCTCCTAATCTTTGTAGATAACATTTTCAGGATGGATTGAAGCCTTCCCCACAAAAAAAAGAAACTGCCCAAATGGTGGTCAAGAAGATCCTGAAAGATATTTTTCCAAGATACGGCCTGCCTAAGGTAATAGGGTCTGATAATGGACCGGCGTTCGTGGCCCAGGTAAGTCAGGGGTTAACCAGGACCCTGGGGATTAATTGGAAGTTACATTGTGCTTATAGACCCCAGAGCTCAGGACAAATAAAAAGAATGAATAGAACCATTAAAGAGACCTTAAGCTTAGAGACCAGCATAAAAGATTGGACTATGCTCCTGCCTTATGCACTGTTTCATACAAGAAATACTCCCTCTGTTTCTTTGTGTAACCTCACCCCCTATGAAATTCTCTATGGTGCCCCTCCTCCAGTAAGGGACCTAACCCCAACTCTAAGACCTAACGATCCCTTCCACACCCCCTTGCTTGACAGACTTAAAGCTCTTAAAAAAACTCAGTGATACCTGTGGAAACAGCTGGCCACTGCCTACCAACCTGGGGACGAAGGAACTCCACACCAATATCAAGTGGGAAACTTCATCTACGTAAGACGACATCAGGTGTCATCCCTGGAACCCCGCTGGAAAGGACCATACCAGGTGCTACTTATAACACCTACAGCGGTAAAGGTAGACGGAATCACTTCCTGGATCCATGCCTCTCATCTCAAGCCTGCGCCCTGTCCAGACTCTGGCTGGAAATTGGAAAAGACTGGTAACCCTCTCAAATTGTGTATTTGCCATGTGGATAAGGCTATGGACTCTCCCCTTGACCACCAGTAGTCCTAACCCTCATCAGCCCGTTCAGCAGCGATGGCTAATCACAAATCCTACTGGACAAGAAGTATGATCTATCTCACATACAGCCCCCTTAGGGACCTGATGGCCATCTCTCCACCCAGACATTTGTCAGCTGGCTATAGGTCTTTCCTATTGGGATATCCCTGATGAAGAGGATCCCACTAAAATTCCATTAAATCCCTTCCATACCATAGATAATAGAAACAAACATTATGGATGTAGGGACACGCGAGCCAGATGCAGGTTGGCTAACCTAGATTACTATGTTTGCCCGGCGGACTATCAAAGCCACAAACAGTCACGGCTGTGTGGGGGAAAAGCCGACTTCTTCTGTAAGTCATAAGGATGTGAACATACAGGGGCTACCTGATGGAACCCAAACCTCCGCCGGTTCTCAGACCATTGCCCCCTTGCTGAAGTAACAGGTACTGAGGTACCCCTCCACCCACTCACTCCTCTCTTCTCCTGTCAGTGCCCACACCGGGTCCCACCAGGTCCTCTTACCATCTAACTCAAAGCTCAAACCAGCTGAGGAGAGCCCTCAGACCCCTATCCAACATGTAATGAAAATGGCCTTTAAAGTTGCTTTGTCATCACTGAAAACAGGTTACTAAAAATTTAAAGTCCCTCACAGGCTTTTTGGGATACTCACTCCAGTCTTCCCCTCTGCTCTACCTGTTCTACTACTCAAGTTTTTGTTGCTAGGAAAATCCCAAACCCCTTTCCCATTATTCTTTTACATCTCTTCTTCCTCATTCTCAGATCCACGGAGCTGCTCTCAGCCCCGCCTTCCCCGTCTTCCCCCTCTGTACCAGGCCCACAGAAAAGTCTTAACTGACCTTCTCCAGAAGTCTTCACCATGGCTGACTTTAGGACTTTCAACAAAAGAGTCCCTATAAAAGAGTTCAGTGTAGATAAACTTCCTCTTTTCATGTTGCCCTGTTCTACTTGGCCACTGGCTGGAAAAATCAGCACTCCTAAGCTAGACACCCCCTTACTAGTTTTTCACAAAATATGTAAACAAGGCCTTTGGCCTTGAGCTGGGGCTTCACAGAGATGGCTACATTTCTAAGATAAAAAAGTTATCAACTGGGCTCCATGGTAACAGCTGGCAGGGGGAAAAAAGAAAAAAAAAGTTCTCCCCCTCCCAGGTATCCTTAAAAAGTTAACTTGCCCAGAACAGAGGAAAAAAACAGAAACAAAAACTGCTTTTTGTGAACTTCTGCAGACTGTGAACTTCTGAGCCCCTTCCCTTACATGTTGAGTACAAAATTCTGAAACTACCTAAACTTGGGGTTCATGGGATTAATTGATTACAACAGAAGCAGTGCCCTCTGAATCCGGTTGCAACCAAATAGGACTGTTTCCCTGTCTTCGGTGCTATCTTAGGTGCCTTGCCTTGTCCGTCCCTACAACAGTATAATTCTATATACTTAAACATTATTTATGTTTTCATGAAATGGTCAACAGATGTGATTAATTGTATAATGGTGCAGATGTTTCCCAGAGTGCTCTATCATGACACAGTTTCATTTGAAGATCAAATAAGGGGACATACAACCCGGTTCCGCCGGGAACCTGTATCCCTCACTTTAACCATCCTATTAGGAATAGGAGTTGCTACAGGGGTGGACACAAGAACCACTGCCCTGGTCCATGGGACACAACAAATGACCCAATTAGAAACAGCAATGGACCAAAACTTAAAGATATTAAAAACCTCCATCACAGCTTTGCAGGAATCTTTAACCTCTCTCTCTGAAGTTGTTTTACAGAACAGTCGAGGGTTGGACCTCCTCTTCATGAGAAAAGAAAGCCTTTGTGCTGCATTGAGGGAAGAATGTTGTTTTTATGCCAACCATACTGGAGTTGTAAAATAATCTATGAATAAATTAAGAAGATGCCTTTAAGAGCGTCAACGAGAGAGAGAAACCCAAAAAGGGTGGTATGAGTCTTGGTTCACACAGTCCCCCTGGTTAACTATGCTTTTATCAGCCCTGGCTGGTCCTTTAATAATCCTTATATTGTTGCTAACTCTAGGACCCTGTTTGCTCAACCATGTAGTTTCCTTTCTCCAAGCTCAAATTGGACGAGTCAAACTTATGGTAATCAGACAACAATATACCCCACTAGCAGACCATAAAATGTGACACCCCCCAATGATCACTTTTATGATTAAAAGTAACCAGAAGAAAAAGTGGGAAATGAAAGGTTAATAATCTTGAGAACTGTTTGCTAATCTTGTTCCTAGAAGGTGCTGTCCCCAACTGCCAAACTGCAGAATGTATCCCCTCACCCGGTTGCAGGCAAACCGCCCACTCGCCCTGACCCGTCAATGAACTTCCCTCCCTGCCCTCTCCAAGGAAAGTATATAAGCTCTGCTTAAGCTGTTCTCAGGGCTCTTTGCTCTATTCAAGTGAGCTCTGAGCCCCAGCATGCTGGACCCCAATAAACCCTTTGCTGTTGCATGAGACAGTCTCTTGGTGGTCTCTCCCTCCGATGCTCGCCTGACCTTTACAATATAAAAAGTGCACTACTAACCCAAGGAAAACTGAAATGGTTCCGAATATCTTAAGAACCACGTGGTTTCATAAGGTTTACACATTATAAGCTATGTCTTTATTCTTTTTTTAAAAAAATTTTTTTAGTGTAGTTGGGCACAATACCTTTATTTTTATGTTTTTATTTTTTCTATGTGGTGCTGAGGATCGAACCCAGGCCTTGCACATGCTAGGTGAGTGCTCTACCACTGAGCCACAACCCCAGCCCCATATGTCTTTATTTTTAATACATATTTTTCTACGTATTTGAATAACCTATAGTTGTTAATTCATAAAATAGTTAGCATATATGTATAATTGTTTAGTTAATATATTTTTATCTAATTATTTTTCCTTCAATAGAAAACATATAATCTATATATACATTTGTCTGGTGCTGTCTTTTGTAATTAGAAATATCTTAAGAAAAATGTATTTTACTATAAAAAATTTCTTTTCAAGAGATAACACAACCATCAGTAATCTCTAACTCTCAAATTATTGTACAAACTTTATAAGATAATAAACAAATATAATTCTGTCTACAGAAATATCCAAGGGTTTTAACTATGTTTTCATTGAGATATTTCTTCTTATCAGGGTACAATCATTTGTTTAGATTCTGAGATTTACAGAAATTATTCCAAATATAGCCCAGGAAAAATTCTAAAAGTTGAAGATGCTTCAACAGAGAGGAAGCACACATTGGAGGTCCTAAGAAGAAGAAAGAAATCATCTTTGGGTAAAACAAGACCTTTGTATTCTAAATTTTAATGATAAAACTATTTTCCTAAAGAGGAAGATCTTTATATCATTATCTAGGCAGATGATATAGAAAGTTAACACAATTGAAAAAGAGGTTTATATATAACTAGACTGATTATAAAAATTTAAACTGATTAATTCAGGCTATTTCCCTGATTTTTTTAAAAAATATTTTTTTATTTTTAGGAGGACATAATATCTTTATTTTCTTTTTACGTGGTGCTGAGAATCGAAATCCAGTGCCTCACGAAGCTAGGCGAGCTCGCTACCACTTGAGCCACATCCCCAGTCCCTTTCCCTGATGTGAGCTAAGATTTTTGTTCATATTTTGACATGCTAAAGACCTATTAAAATGCTGTTTATTTCCTTTAAGGAAGGTCTTTATTGCCTAGTGATTCTTAATATTTAAGACAAGGATTAATTTTGGTGAATAAATTCACATCCTTGATTAAACACTAAATATATTAAACTGACTTAAATTCCAAATTTGACACTTCTCCTTGGAGAATAAATTTGATTCTTGCGTATTACTTCTGTTTGTTGGATAGTTGTGAGATTTGGGAGAACATTTTATTAGGACTGATGTTCTCCAAATTAAAGTTGTGTGTTAGTTTTGAACAATAAAGGTTGCAAACCTTGTTGGAAAGTCATTGGTATTATAAAAGTTCTCTGACTGGATCTATTATCCAGTAGATTTACATACTGCTCCCTACACTGGGAAGTAACCTTAATCATATTCCCTAAAAGACAACTAAGACAGACCTATTTAAAGGATAAAATTCTGAGATATAAAGATATTTTGAGACCTTCTCTCAAAAAGAGATTGAGGGTTCTTTTTAAATTATTAGGATGGATCAGCTAATCTATATACTGGGAAATTATAATAATCAATAAAATGTATCTCATTTTCATATCTAGCTTCAATTACTATTAACAGAGAAGGCCTTAAAAAATTACCTACTGGAAAGATCAAAGGGAACCTCTCAATATAGACCAGAACAAATCCAGGGAGATTTTTGAGAGATCCAAATTCATGTATTATAATATTTCAAAATTTATACCAAAAGGCTAACCTTACTTGGATTTTTAAAAATATGTTTTGGTTGTATATGGACACAATACCTTTATTTATTTATCTTTCTTTGGTGCTGAGGACCGAACCCAGTGCCTCACCCAAGCTAGGTGAGTGCTCTACCACTAAGTCACAACCCCAGCCCACTAGAGAGATATTATGCTATCACTTAGCTAAACTTTAAAATAGAAGGCCATCCTAAAAACAATTTTAAAGGAAATTTATCTTAACCATGTCCCAAATTAGCCTATAAATATACAAGGTAATAATTAATGTTTATATTCTTCCTATTTACTCAAAAAATGTTACTAATAGTCAAAAAATTCACCTAAATTTAACCACAAATTCAGAAGATTCAGGATAAAAATAGATGGAAGAATAAATAATTATCTAAATACATTTGTGGGCAGGATAATGGACCCTAAAAGATGTCCACATCTCAGTGGCTGGAACTTGTGAATGTTACCTCACAGTGGCCAAAGAACTTGGCAGATGTGTTGATGTAAGGGCCTTGAGGTGGGGAGATCATCATCCTGGATTATCTGGGAGGGCCCAGCGGAACCATAAGAGTCCTTAAATGTGGAAAAATGGCAGAAGAGTCAGAGGAGAAATTATCACAGCAGCAGAGACTGACTGGGAGCCAAGTCAAGGGATTCAGGCTCCCTCTAAAGGCTGTGGAGGCTGGAAAGGCTCTTTGCCCTCAAGAGTCCTGCTGACACCTAGATTTCTGCCCCGGGACACCCCTTTTGAATGTCGGGCCTCAAGAACTGTAAAATAATAGATCTGTGTTGCTTTAAGCCACTGTATTTGTGGTAATTTGTTACAGCAGTAGTAGGAAACTAATACACACCCTTTTGGCTATTTCAAGCGAATGTGCCGTAGTCTTGTGAGAACTTATTAATCAGAATTGTCAACAAATCCTGGGATACTCCCTTTGTGTGTAGTTAGAGGCGTACCATTAACTATGGTACATATTCATTATGTTGTAACATAATTTCAAAAGAAATGGAAGACCAAATTTTTTAAAAATAAGAATAGTTATGAGTTACACAGCCTAATTATAAGAATTAAAGCCACACACTTTATGAAACAGAGCTGCAAACGGTTCTACACAGAGACACAAAAAAAGGGGTGATAAAGGCTACAGGAATCTGGTATTATTCCTAATGCATTTCTACATAAGTGGCAAGCTGTCGCAGTTGTCGGGAGACTGTGACCACATTTTAAAGCCCACTTCTTGTGTAAATTACCAGCCTAAAAATCCGGATGTAGGGAGCTAGGGTTGTAGCTCAGTGGCAGAGCACTGGCCTTCTAGTGTGTGTGAGGCCCTGGGTTCGATTGTCAGCACCACCTATAAATAAATAAAGATCCATCAACAACTAAAAACAAAATTTAAAAACTCAGATGTAAAATCTCTCAAAGCAATGGCTGGCATCTGAGAAATGATGTCTAATAAGCAAACATGTCTGATGTTGTGTTGCTTCATATTACATATCAAAAACTTTAGGCAGGATTATCTGAAACATATCTATGCGTACTGTGTGTGTGTGTGTGAGATGATACATTTTTTTCCCTGAATTAGATAACCAGAAAGCTGTACACCTGTTCTTTGTCGTTTTGCCTCCCCTGCTGGGTCTTCTCCGACCCCCTTGAACTTTTTGTTCTGAACTTTGGTGCCATCATTTTATACTGAAAGATATTACATGGAAGAGCCCTGGGAAACTTGTTTTTGTGGCTTTTTGTTCTGCTTGGGTCGAGTTCCACAACTAAACCCTCAAGGTCCCTGCAGGTGAACTGGGCTGGCACGAAATAATCACACAGAGACAGAGAAATACCATTATTTTGGGTCCTGTGGCAGCTCTTCGACCTTAGGGGTGTGCTTCAGGACTGGAAGGTGTGGTCATTCAGAGCGGCTCCTCACATATTCCCCCTTTCTTAATATTAAAAAAAAAAGGGCAACTGGAGAATTAAATCCTTAGTCACTGGATTCTTGGTCCCAGGTCATCATGATCTACTATTGAAACACAAGAAGAATTAGTAGAAAACAGATCATTTCAATAACACAATCAACTTGGAAGGTCCAGGTTATTATTATTACCCTCTCAAACCCTCATCAGAAGATTCTTAATCTTTTCCCAAGTTTATTGGAAAGCATTGTGTTTGGCCACAGTAGCATAGACATACTTAATTAGCACGGCATTTAGGCCTGTCCACAAGCCATTATTTATTACAGTGGCTTCTAGAACATTTTAACTTAGTTTCAATCCTTCCATCAATACTTGACTAAGAAGGATCTTGGAAGTCATTTAAGTCAAATTATTAAGAAAATCCATCTGTTGTAAGTTTTAAAACATAGCCACAAAGGCTGTATTGTAGAAGCAAGGAGTAGTAGTTAAGGTAGCCATTTCAAGGACCGTGAGACCAGGAGCTTGCCTGGGCCTGGTTAATTAATTGGCGTGCCTCTGTTTTGAAGCCTGAGTGTTAACTTCAGCATACCTCAGCGCTGAAATGTTAGCAGGCCACAACTAGGGATACAATAAGGTAAGTGGTATTCTTACAGGCCACAGGATATTCACCATCCTTTCCCTTAAATCTCACATTTAAGGAGTCTGTTAGATCTGTCAGTAATGTAAATATTCTGAAGGCCGAAGTCAAATATCCAACATCCTTGTGGGTGCTGGCTCACTGAAGACCCGGGTGTTACCAATAAACCTCCAGGGGGTCATGGCATCCTTGTCTGATCATCTTTGTCAACTCTGAGAGACCAGTCTAAAATATATCCCCATTTCTAGATATCTTGTGTTGCACTGGAAAGACATTTGCACAATCTACCCACCCAGGAAAGGTGCCGGTTTCTACTGTAGAATGATCAGGGCAGCAATACGTTGGTGGATAGCTTATGTAAATAACTGGCCTGCATAGGAAAAATCCATTTTAATGGTCTTTCTGAACTGTCCAGACATGGTCTTAATTACTAAAACACCAGCATAACTGGCTGGTTAAGTTTCCCATATGCTGTCTTTCTCTCAGAAGGTACTTCCAGACAGTCTGTTTACCATAGGACTGACATATAGGTGTAACTGACCGTCACACT